GGGACCCTAACTCAACCAAGCCAATCTTTCTCTGCACCAGGTCTGACATTTCCAAGCACGTGTGGAGGAGCAGTTTCAGGGTTTCCTGACTAAATGTTTCCAGGGCCTGTTTACTGGCTGCAATTGAGAGATTCTACTGTGAGGGCCAGAGATATAGTTCAGTGGTTCCGCCGCCTGCCCTGCAAGCACAAGGACCAGAGGTACAAAAAAAAAAGAAAAAAAAATCTACAAAGGTGGGAGCTGGAGAGCTGTTGCTCAGAGAGAGCTCATTCTAACCAGACAGAGACACAGACACCTACTAGGTGGTTCTCCAATAGTCACTTTCTTTCCAAGTTGTTTTCTTTCCCATGATTTATGCTGTAAATGCCTGGAGGCTTCACCCTCTTGATTCTTGGAAACGGGTAGCAACTTATCTCAATTGCTGCAAAAGTTACAAGGACGAGGAAGATTTTTCTTACATAGGGGAGTTAAAAGCCAGTTTGGCCAGTACTGCCCTGATGGGGAGGGCCAGTGCACCCGGGAGGAGAGTGCTGTGCAGGCCGCTGCCAGGACGGCATGCAGGGTCACTCCCGCCGGGGGTCTGCTGCCCAGAACACCACCCAGGGGAGTCTCCCGGAGGCAGAGCCCGCCCTGACCTCCAGGGCACCACCAGCAAGCTCGCCCGGCTTCTGTGCTGAGCACAGCTGCCACGGAAACCAAAGGTGTAGGGTGTAGCACAGCCTTTGCTTTTGGTGAAGATGAGCACCTTGGCCGGCTAACGGCAGACGTTAGGGTCACAGGGAGACCCGCACTTCTCATGACAGGTGAGAGCCAGGCCAGGTGAAAACAAAGGGAGGCGGTTTCTAGCTCACAAGAAGGTAACATGAGTCGCTCCACGCTACCTAACAAGCAGCAGTGAATTGCTAAAGCAGTCAGTAAAGGGGTTGGGGTCGGCTCCATTTCTACCTCTGACTCTGTCAATGTGTTTGTTGGGTTTGTGAAGCCACCGACACTAAAAAATGACTGTATTCTGCCGGCCGGCCCCTTTGGTTCTTACTAAACATTCCCGCACACGGAGCTCTAGGTGACCCACACCCTCATCCTGCTTGCTGTGGCCTGCAGTTCAAATCTGCAAGAAAACTGGGATGGGGGGCGATCGACTGACTCCCTGTGACCCTCACGGGGTGCTGGGGCCAGAGGATGGTGTCTCCTCCTTCTGTAATCACCATGCCCTCTGGGCAAGCAATGGGTCTTTCTGCGATGGAGAAGGAAAGCGAGACTCAGGGACCAGCCGCAAGGGGGCGTGGATTCGGGCAGCACCGCGTTCAAGAACAAGCTGGCTCGGCCCATAGAGTACAAGTGTCCCGGGTCGTCACCGGCAGTTTCCACCGTGTGTGAGCAGGGCGCCCTCTGGCTTCGGCTCAGGGAGGAGGGCAGTGAACAATCGTCCCTCCTGCGGGCTTCCAAATCTCCTAGCTCACAAGGTCACGTCTCATCTCAATTCATCATGCCTTTCTCGAGCGGAGGGTTTGCAGAGCAATGGGATTCTGCAGCACAGGGAAAGCGGGAACTCGAAGCAGCAGCTGGAGAACCCCGGCGTGGACTGACGCTGCTCTTGCTGCCTGTGGTTGACCCAGATCCCACCCCAGGAAGGCTGGTAATCCCAGGTCAGGGCCCTGCCGACCGCACACCTGTAATCCCAGCACTCGGGAGGCTGAGGCAGGAGGACCACTGTCGTTTCGAGGCCAGCCTGAACTACACAGCAAGATCCTGTCTCAAAAAAACAAAGCGAAATCTCTACCAGCCCAGCCTCAGTCGGCTCTGGATCCACAGCTCCTCAGAAAACTGGACAGAGCACCACCAGCCTGGGAGCCCCAGATCTCACCCACTGGCTAACTCACGCGCTCTGCCCAGCCTTCTGCTTCTGGTGGGAGGTTCAGACCCAGCAGCTGCCTGGGTTAGCCATGCAATCGCACAATCACGCCATCTCTGGAAAGGGGAGCCTCTCGCCTGCCTCGGGGCTGTGTGTGGAGGGGAGAAGGGGGCAGAGGCACAGCGGGACTGGGACTGGGCCGGGTTGTGCGGCCTGTCAGGTAATAAGCCAGGTGTCCGGAAGGCCAGAAGCCCCACCCAGCCAGGACCCACGAATCACTGCGGTGACTTCCCCACGAGGCCTAAATAATCTTGTTCTCTCTAAAGTGAAGTAACTACCCATGGGCACAGGCTCAGGACGAGGTGCCTGTGATGGGCAGTCTGCAGTCCCTCTTTCCCTGTCGCATCTGGTAAACATTACTGGTGACCAGCCAGCCTCTCTGGTCAGAAGACCCCTGACGGCTCCTGGGCAGGCAGCAGGCGCTGCATCCTCCTGATGGCCAGAATCTTTTCCATGCGCTTCTGCCCAGCCCACACCTGCACTGCCCCTGCCCGGTGCCTGCTCCCCGTGGGGGCCGGGACTAACTGTCCTTTCCTGACCCTGCGCCTCCGTGACCGGGACCAAGCTGGGGCCTGCTGAGGAGCCTGGTAGGCAGGGCTGATCCTGTTGCCCACCCCAGAAGGGAGCAGCAGTCCCACACCTCCTCTCTTCCCTAAGGCTGCCTGAGGACCTGGGGAGCCGGTGGGGAGCAGATGTGAGCACAGCACCCCAGCGGCACTGCCTTCCTCCTCCACCTCCCAGCCGGGAGTGCGGGTTTCTGCAACAGATGCCACTCCAGTGACCCTCTTATTAGTACACAAGGCCCCACCAGTGTGCACAGAGTGTAAAAGGCTGTTACTACCCATCATCCTTTATACGGCAAGGGGACTGATGAGCGCCCTGGTGTTAGGACTCATGCTGACGGTGCTAGCTTTTATTAGAGCATATATTAAGACATTAAATTATAAATGGTTGTGGTATAGTTAGAAATTAAATTACAAAATAATACAAATACTTTTAAGTCGTGATGTGCCAACAAAGTTAAAATTTTTACCATTAATTAGGATTCAGGTTTCAGATTAGGCAGTTCGGTTGATTCTGTGATGTGTGTGAAGGTTGAAAAGACAGGCAGAGGAAGATGTCTAGATAAATTATTCCACAGAAAATTTCCTTTTTATTCGAGACAGGGTCTCACTGTGCAGTCCAGGCTGGCCTTGAACTCACAGTGATCCTCCTCCTTCAGCCTCCTGAGTGCTGGGAGGGCAGGCATGCGCCACCACACCCAGCTTCACAGAAAATCTCTTAAATCAAAAAATTTTTCAGCAGATTAATGTTCTAACCTGTTGGCACAACATACAGAAAATACTTACATGACAACTTTTTAAAGCAAACAGCAGCTTTATAAACAGTAATACTTCTTTATACATATATCAAAGTAACAATGTTACAAGTTAGCAGTTCTGTGTGGAAAATGTAGCGATCACTACTCATTTGCACAATGTAATTCCCATCCCACCCACCTCCTCCAACTTATTAAGAAATCAGACAAGTACATTATTTGGATATTAATTTATCAATATTTAAACTACATGAATTCCTTTTGACTAATTCTTTTCCAAATACTGGAAGCGTATAAAATACCATCTCTGCAAAATGACCTCCAGTCAAAGCCTGTAAAAACTTCTCAATGTATAACATATTATTTCTCTATGTTTAGTCAAAAGAAATATATTACATCATTTATAAACATATTTAAACCAAGAACTAAGCTAATATGAACACTTGTCTTCTGAGAAGTAATCTTCATGGCAAAGAAATCTACTAAAGCAAAACTCTAATTTGGGCAGTGATTGGAATCTATAACGTCAGTCATCTATTTGTGTACTGAAATAGAAATCTAACATTTATTATTGCCAATAAAACAACTTTACACACTGAGGAAAAAAATCATGTTTTCATCATTTGTGCCGATGAACCCTCTGTCTTCCTGTTAACTCTCTTTCGGGGCCTCTGAAGAGTGAGCCACACCCACTTCCAAAAATAATTTAAACTTTCCTGGTTCTCACACCTCCCAGGAAGCCTGCAACCCAATCCCCACAGATTCCGGAGTTTGTCTAAGGGAAACAAATGATACACAGACATCACGATCCAATCGTGAGTGAGCAGCAATTCCTTGGTGAACCCATTGGTCCTCTGGGGGTGGCCTTGCAGTAAAGGCTGTGGTCCCTTGGGCTGGCTGCAGGGGGTGCTCGGCCAGGTTCCACCCCAGTCTGTAGCACAGTTAGGTTACTGGTGTTCAGATTTCCTCAACTTCTCTTTTGATACAAATGTCAAAAATCAAAAATGACAGTTCATGTCCAGAAGAGAGGAAAAAAATACAAGAATCCTGTGAAAAGCCATTCCCGTAAGATCAAGAGTTATCTGAATTGCTGACGCTGAGCAAAGGAAATGGACATCATAAAAAGTAGAGGAAGTTTTAAAATTCACTCTGGGGGCTGTCAGTAGTTCAGGGCCTCTATCATTTCTTTACATGCGCGAGCGCTCCCTCACTCTCGGAGATGGAGGATCTGCTGTGTCTGAGTCCTCGCACCTGGCTGTAAGGCTGTGGCCACCGCAGCGTGCCCAGGACCGCAGCGTGCCCAGGACCGAGGCTGACAGGCGCGTTTCCACCCAGCGGTGCTCCTCTCCTAGACACCACCCACCGAGAGCCCGGCTCAGGGGTGAAGGGCCCGCATCATAAGCACAGAAGTAAAGCACGGAACCGGGGCCCGGGGAGCGCAGGATGGATCTGCCCGGCTCTCCGGGCCCCTCGGCTGGGGTGTGCGTGTGCATGCGTGTGTGGGCCAGCGGGGGGACCGGGAGACAGGCAAAGCATCCCTGTGACTCCCGCTACGTCACCTGGGGCCCTCACGACTGCCCGGCAGGGAGCCGTGAGCAGCGCGCACATAATGACTGAAACACGGATACCCGCGCGTCCTTCGACTCTCATCATCTAGCAGGTCCGCACAATTACGCCGACTTTCTCTTTTCTTCTAAAACCTCCTCTTCTAAGCCTTGATCATCAGGGTAACCTTAGAAGCTGTGCAAATTTCCTTTCCCTGACTTCCTGTCAGTAACTACGGTCACTGGCGTGGAAGGCACCCAAGGCTGGGCACGAAATGCGTATGTGGAAGAGATGGAACAGCTTTGCAGTCGGGACAAGTGTGGACTCCCGCCAAACCTGCGTCTCAGAGTCCCGGGCCAGAAGTGCGCAGAGAATACCAGGAGGAGCCCGCTTCTGGCAGTCACTGCCCTGCCTCTCCGCGCACAGACCGTGCACAGAGCCCGGCCGAGGTGAGTGAGAGCGGGTCCGGGTCCGGGTCCGGGTGCGAGCCTGAGCCTGAGCCCGAGCAGCCCGAG